TCATAGCTGCTGTATTTGAGTATGAATTAAATCAAACCTACGTTCGATATTTGACACAAACTTACTCATTAGTGCAAAAAAGAGAGACATTAGAGAGTTATTGGAACTATTAAATACTGCCTCGCAGTATTAAGGATCTACGTTATTTTATTAGTGCATCAGCATTATTTTTCCAAGGAAAAACAGTTATTGGAAGAGTGTAGTAGGTGCTAGAGTATTACCTTATTTTGTATTCATAATTTTGACAGCTGATAGTTATGTTTATAAATTTTAGTCTCAAAAAGTGTTTATTTCTGTTTGTGATTTTCTGCTGATACCCATTTTTTGATGTTACCCACAGTAAAATGGAAAACTATTGTAAAAAATAAATTTTCTAAGTAAAATTACGTCATCGTCGGAAAGCGAAACGTCAAAGTCGTCCAAAATGTCAGACATTTGAAATAAGGGAAGTTTACTGCCTCGCACTAACCATGCACAAATAAAGACAAGCAGTAACCTTATTAAGGGAATTCTAATTTTCGGATACAATTGCGCATGCGTAGATGTCAAAATAAGGCTAATTTAAATACTGCTTGTCCTTATTGCACGTTCAATAACTCTCTACTATATCAGCGTCTGTCGGGTAATAGAGAGTTATTGGAAGTATTAAATACTGCCTCGCAGTATTAAGGATCTACGTCATTTTATTAGTGCATCAGCACAATTTTTCCAAGAAAATAAAAGTTATTGGAAGACTGTAGTAAATGTTACAGCGTTTTCCGCATTTGTCGAACCCGTGCAAAAAAAATGTATCCTTATCCTTACATGTTACATGCTTTTAGAAAAAGATGCGGATACACTCAGTGAGCACTGATTGACAAATGGAAATCGCCATTAGAGTATTTACCTTATTTTGTATTCACAACTTTGACAGCTGATACCTATGTTTATAAATTTCAACCTCAAAAAGTGTTTATTTTTGTTTGTGATTTTCTGCTGATACCCATTATTTGATGTTACCTACACTAAAATGAAAAACCATAAAAAACAAATTCTCTAAGTAAATTACGTCATCGTCAAAAAGCGAAACGTCAAAGTCGTCAGAAATATTGAAATAAGGAAAGTTTACTGCTTAGAGCGTTTACTGCCTCGCACTAACCATACACAAATAAAGACAAGCAGTAACCTCATTAAGGGAATCCCTATTTTCAGACCCAAATGCGCATGCGTAGATGTCAAATACTTTTTATTTAAATACTACTTGTCCTTATTGCACGTCCAATAAGTCTCTATTATTACATCTAGGCTCACTCTCAACTTAACTCCACTTTTTGAGAGATTTCCATTATTTTGTCAGTCAGTGCGCACTGGGTTCAGCCGCATCTTTTTTCAAAATCATGTAAAATATAAGGACGCGCAGACCGCGCTCTCGCCACTCTTATTAATGTGTCGAAATGCCTTGACGCTATTGGACATAACAGCTATGACGTAATGTCTGGGCGTTAAATTATATAGCGTTTAAAATAAGTAAAAATTTTTTTTTCGGGTATATTTTTGTTTTCTAAAATCGAAGAATCATCAACTACAATTTATTTTATATGAAGATTAATGAAAAAAATATTTCAAAAAATTGTCAACTACCCTATTTAGTAAATCGATGGAGTTCTAAAACTGAAATATGTATTCGAAGTAATGTAAATACCATAAAAATTATATAATAAAACATACAAATATTTTGCTCTGTTTGGCAAGCAGTGGAACGTTTGCATGCAAAAATTAGAAACTAAGTTCAATTTTAGGATTGTCTTCATGTATCTAGTTTATTATTTTGAAATTTTTTTATGTATCTTTATCACCATATTTTCGAACAATTTTAAGAATAAATTTATAAAAAAAAAACCAACCAAATCAAATGTGTATTAACAACTAGCGGATGATTGAGTGCGAAATAGGAATAACTTCGTCTTTCATTAAACCCGATTAACTATTTAGCCAACTAGAGGCCGACATTTGCTCTCACTGCCGTGGGACTGTCAAGAATGTTAAAATGCTTTTCGCAATCCCTCCACGGTTCTGATACTTATATCTAGTTCGTTTTTTGATATCTGATAGGTATAGCCACCCTTTTTTTCTCATGCGGGGATTTCCTGTCTTTTCAAACAATTAAATAGCTTTACTTGACGGTCGTTTATAGTTTATCCCCTGTAAATCGCTCGTAGATATATCCGGGTCCTAGAGCTCTTCCAATCTGAAGGGATTCAAACAGCCTTCTTTCTTCTTTTTTTTAACAGCAGACTTCTGATTTTGATAATATGTGTCAAACCACCATCCTTTTTTAACTTTCTTCGTGGTCCTGTTCGAAACAAACTAGAACAATACAAAAAAATTATTTAAACTAAAATAGTTAATAGATGGGAAAACAAAAATAATAAAAATAATGTATCTTCTAATTTGATTTTTTCAGAATACCTACTAATCAACCAACACATGCCAATAATAATTTACTAAATAAGTTTATACCTCAAAATAGCGGAATTATGGTCAATCATGAATGTTTGGGCTAGTTTGCGTGAGTAATTGTTTTTATTGTTATTGTTTTGGTTCATCCGTATTTTATTTTCCAATTAGGTTTTTTCATGTACTCTAAAATTCACTCATTGGTTTTTGAAATTTTTTGTTTTTTTTTTATCTAATTAGACAGTTTTTTAGTGGAATTGAAGACTAACTTTCAATTTTGTTGTCCATTTATTTGAACTTTTTCTGAGGTGGGTCCTCTTGTTCTGGGTTTTCTTTTCCGCAAATTCTTTTGTTTCTTTGCCGCAAATTTTGTTAATAAAAATTTCTGAGTAGCCATTCTGGAGTTTTTTTTTTGATGTCTCTTATTTCTTGGATTTTAGCTGCCTCGGCGTTGCACATCATGTTCTGCTCTATCTCAGAATGAAATGACGACACGACACCCTCTATTTTCATTCGACTGTGGTTTTCGTTGAAATTCAGATATTGTCCTGTGTGGATGAGTTTTCTGTAGACGGTCATGATGATGTATGTAACCAAGAATTTTATTGTAGGGTATAGCCTTGGTGAAGGTAGAAAACATTTCCCGGAAATTTAGCACTTAAGCCGGAAATAAAAGTTTCTCCAAAAAAGCTCAGGATTTTCTTCTCACATGATTAATTCTTCTTTTGACAGACTTTCCTTTTGTTTGTCCATGTATAAATTTATAATATGAATATTTGCAACTGTGATATTGTGGTTATTTCTATCTTTTATCTGCTTCGATTTCTCCGTTCCACAGCTTCCTTGATTTTTTTTTTCTCTTCATAATACTTCTAAATTCTTGATGTAATATATTTTTATGAAATAGTTTCATACCCTCGTCTTTGAGGCTTCTTAAATCGAATCTTCTTCGGGTTATTCTTCCATTTTGTGTTCTTTCGGGAATAGAAATGTTTGTTGACAGGAAAAAAATGGTCGCTGTAACTTGGTTTTCTACATACTTGAACGTATACATTTTTCATCAAGGGTTTGAAAATGTTCAATAATTACAATAATTTTGTGTGCAATAATATATTATGTCCTTTTGATATGATCCATAAAACATACATTAATCAAATTCGTTCAAGAATTTTTTTGGTCATCATTATTTTGTCAATCTTTTTCAGTTGAATTGCAAACAAAACTTTTTCAATTCTCAAATTACCTGTTCTATAGCCAAGCTTGTTTTTCCCTCGGTTTTTCCATCCCTCAATCCTTCATATATTTATTTCACACGGACTTTTCAACGTTCTTTTTATCTGTCGTATGGACAACAGCACACGTACTTTCTCGATTTGTCGTGGACAGAATGTTAATTGAGATTTTCAAAAGGCTCTTTCAAATTCGTCCACGGCCACGGTAAAATTCGGTTTTCAGCACTCGGCCGACTCTTACCCGACAGGTTCGTAAGCGTGTAAGCGCAACAATTGCCAAATAGAAAAAGCCACTGTGCATTTTCTATTTTGAGTTTCGTTTTTTAAATTCTATCGCGGCGGTTTTAACATAATTATGGATTTCGTAGTCGAGTGCAATATTTTTCACTGCCTAAATGAACCTCATCAAAGGCTTTTGTGATTGACTGAAATTTTGTTTATTAAGCTTTTATTTTATTTTCCGTAGGGCCTATATCAATTGAATTTTAAAATGAAATCTGATTTTCTTTTTTTATTTTTTATTATATTCAGGCTTGTTTGCAGGTAGGACGTTACTCGTGTAAATCGAGACAGATATATTTCCCCCAACCAAAGGCGCTTGAGAACAATTTGGCCCAAGGTTGTAGGTGGTACACCTATTTTCGGTTTGGTTTTCAAAATTTTCGGTTATTCGCAGACAGGTGTTCAAAACAGATGTAGATTATATTATTTATTATCTACTTTTACTTTCACTTGAAATTTGGTTTCCTTGAAGCAGTATTCAAATAAATAATTAGGAAAAAGATGAAAGAAACAAAAAAGTCTGTTTTATTAATTTTCAAGACAATTCAATGAACTTCTTTATTATAAGTTTCTTTGGCGCGTGAATAAAAATGTCAAAAAATTTCAATGGGTCTCAACAATTCAACAACACAACAATCAGACTTGCAGGAAAATTAAATCTGAACAGGCCATCATAGGTAGCTATTTATTTATAAGAATAACTGCTTAATGAAAAAAGTTTTTATACTGCATCCAAAAAATACATCAATCGTTGAAATAGGGCAATTAAAAAAAGAAATACAAATACGTGAACCTTATTTTTTTATATGACTTGCTGACATTCATCAGTCGTCGGGATGACAAATAATTACTCACTTAAGTTCTACGTCAGTTTTTCAAGTTCACTAAGCAGAGTGATTATTTCTGTAATAGACACACTTTAACCAATTCAGGAATGTACCTACAGTAATAAGTTAAATTTAATCTAATGAGATTTGGGTGACATCATCTCTTGAATGGACTCAAAATAATTTACCAAATAATATTAATTTGAGTATTTGTTATTTTCAGGTGGTAGTTGAGTCGCAAACATCAGCTCTCGAGTATGGAGATATTATTGTTGAGGAAGGATCGCCAGTGAATCAAGATTTGCATTTTGATTCCCAGTTGATGCATCTATATGTGATGACTGAGAAAAAGGTATAGTATAATATTGATATAGAATTTTAAAGGAAATTTAACTTTTTTTTATAATTCAACCTAATATCGTCAAATCAACATTTGCAGCAAGTTTATTTTTACGTATCCGGGTCGTAGATAAGTGAGACTATTCCTCCGAACTTGAATAAACTTTGCCTATTCAAACCACAATATTATTATCTCTATATTACAACATTTCGATTCATCCAAATTACTTTTATCTGCTTGCAAAACTTTATCAATATGACTGATCAACGCACTGTCCAATTCCAATTCATAACTAACAATTCCAATTACGGAATGATCGAGAGTTGATGTTTATCGGAAATTCCTAGGATGAAATTGTCTAGAAAACTATTGGCGGATCGAAGCGACAAGGAAGTTAGTTGTGAATTGAACGAGTTGTGCATCAGACAGATAGTTGAAGTACCAAGGATGGATTCAAGAGCTATCTCTGGTATTTTGAGCCCCAGGGAGTTAAGACTTCGTATTTGGGAGGTCTATCCCTTTTGCGGTTTTGAGAGCATATGCACAATAGATGTTCAACAAGTACGGAAAACGGATTTAAGAACTACAGGGTGATTCAAATTCGATGGTGTCCATGGGAATCTCGGAAATGGTAAGAGATACGAGGTCGGTTAAATGGATGCAAACTTGCACTATTTGTTGCTCAACAAAATGCCGCTTCGAAATTCGAAACATTCCGAAAACTTCCGGAGATATTCCACCTCATTGTAGCAACTTTTTCCCCTCTACACGATAGTGTTGCTGGATTTGAATAGGGAACTTTACAATTTTTTTAAAAAATTTTTAAATCATTTATTTATGTCTTGAAAGAGTATTCCCCAAATATTATTCCCTAAAATTCAATAATAACTTGGTGAAAAATGTTTAAAGTTTCGCGCGTATTAAAAGCATTTCAAACGACTTTAAATGCGCGTGAATCTGGATGACGTCACGTAGTATGATTTTGCGTCACCTTGTCGCCAAACGTCATATTTCATTGTATTTAATTTGGTTGATTTCCACATTTTCCACCGTTATTTGTTTTGTTGTTGTTTTGTATTGCGACGAGTTGTAAATTTTGAAGTTATAATGGAAAAAAAGATTCGCACATACTTACTTTTGCTACCATAAACATATCGCAAATTACAGATTGTCGGATTGGCCTTTGGAATTTCCTTCTTCGGTCATAATTAATAGGTATATCGTTTTATTTATATAATGCTGAGCTAATTATTGAATTTAAGCTAAGTAAACCAATTCTTCAATAATGATGAAATTTTAAGAAAATTAGAGAAAAACGTGGATAAACACAGCTAACGGGTATTTATTATGTAGAGTTCGAGTAAACGCTCGGAGCTGCTGTTTTGTTCTTTTATCCCTGTTCTTCTCATCATGAGGAAAAAAGACGGAAAATGCTCCGAGCGCTCAGTTTTTCAAGACGAACGCATGGTATGATGGACGGTTGCTGACAAATACTTTATTCCTTTTACCCGTTGAGTTACTCGGAGCTGCTGAATGTCAAAAGCTTGAACGTTCCTTTTAAAGGTGCGTTAAGCACTTGAGTCGCTCATAGTGCATCCCCCTTTCCCCTGATGCACCAAATTTGCGGGGGGTGCAAGAAGCTCTTTTAGGTAAAGACGGTAATGTTAATATTAAAAAATAATGATAAAATCTGAATTATGTGTTTTGGAGTGACTCCGAGGAGCTCGTTGGGTGTAACTCGATGTATAAAAGGAATACAGTAAATCACTGACAGATCATACTAGATGACGTCACGACCAGTACCAGCGCGTTTTTTCCCGCTGGAAATAATTTGAATTTTTCCGCATTTTTAATTCCTTATTGTGGCCGATTGCGACAAAAAAATTGTTTTTTTCGCTGATATATGTTTTAACATAATATATTCTTATGATTTATAGTAATATTTTCATGTTTAAATTTTTTGTCAAGTTCCCTATTGCGACGTTTTGTCTTTGACCGACCATCACATCATCAACTTTATTTTTTTAAATACGGACCTGTATTATTTATTTTATTTTTTGGAGCCCATTTTACACAGACTTATCATACTCATCGATAAATTATGCTTTTCCAGAAAAATATCGCATCTGAAGTACCTACTTAAATCCACAAGTCTTCCACGCAGTACTTTGGTCATAAGTCTCTTTCAATCTGACACGCTCCCTTAAAGGGGGTGTGCGTCAAAAAAACAACTTCATCTCAAAAAAAAAAGAGAAAAAAAATCTAAGAATAACAGTGAAATCCGCACCCCTCTAAGACAAATAATACCGCAGATATATGGCTCTATGAAGGTACCGCATCTCACCCTATGACGTCACGAAAGCTCAAGCGACGCACGAGAAAGTGGAGTTAATTAAATTTACATATGTTTCTCCTGTGTATTCATCTAGCTTCAAAAGGTGTTTCACTCAAATCGTTTTCTGTGCCCAAGCCTTCTTGGCCATCGCAGAAGTTGAGGCTGCTCTTTGACAGAAACCGGTCCCGCTGCTCAACCAAGCCGAGTTGGGCAAGCGTAATCTGCGAGCACAGCTTGCACATTGGCCTCTCGGGCTGTAGATATTATAAAATGTGTGTTCTAGGCATATTCTAAAATCATCATAAAACCCTAGACTATTCCTGAATGACTGGACAAACTATAAAACAATAATAGTTATATATATTGGCGTTTTTAGGCGTTTTATAAAATATCTCCACAATCTTAGGCGTATTGTGAAAAAAACATGATTTTACAATTTTCAAATTAGGAATTTTATAAAACGCCTAGGTAGGTACTTGTTGTTCAAGCATATTCCAAAACACATCAGCATTTTCTTTTCCCTCGATATTCCATTCTCATTCTTGAGATCAACAAAGCAATAATATTTTGGAAACCCTGTATATTATTATTATGATATATGTATTTGGAACTATGTCTATAACTGCTTACGAGCTAACCATTTTCTCAGCTAACTTTAAGAAAAGAAACTGAGTTGCACGAGTGGCACGAGTTGCGATTTGACACAACTAAGTTAGAATCTTACCTCCCTCTTAACCCCTGCTAAGACACCCGTATTTTCGACTGAGATATCACAGTTGTGGCAAATTTGACAACTTCGACATTTCACCGTATATGTTGATCAGCTTATGAGAAATGCGCGTACGATAAAACAACTTAGCTCAGCCAAGAAACTAACAATAACTTAGGTAAGAAAAGTGCTTGATCGTTAGCAGCAAATTTCATGTACTGCACGAGTGAAATAGAATACAATATTTTATTAACTCCTCCAAATACTGGAAATCAGATGCTATCTTAATTTTATAAGTGAGTACCTACCTACCTATAGTGTTTAAGTTGAATCCTAGCTAGAAAAAAAAGCCGTTCTATTCTATCCTGTCTGCTTTATTCAATTAAACTTTCTCATTTTTCCCTGTCCAGTAAAGCACCTTCGGAAATTACTGTTCTCTGTGCAGTTGTGCACCCCAAGGCATCAGAGACATGCACCCTAGGGGAGATATACGTGCACCCCGATATACCCTCATATTCCGTATCCTGTATATTATTCAATATATTCTGGAATGTAGATAGATACTGCAAGTTTCGACACATCCCCCAGAAGCTCCAAAAATATAGCCTGCGTTTTTCATTACTGCCATCGTGCTATTGTTTTCAGTCAATCATGATTTGTAGTATTTATACTTCAAACCCACTCGAGGGGTCAAGAAACTCATACCTTCAAGTGTGGATTATGTCATCGATCTTGGTGCAGGGAGAAAGGGTTGAATTGAAACAGTAAATTGAAAAATTTCGATATATACTTCAAAAAATGGCTTGTATTTACATAACGTAAAAAATTATCGTGATAAAATTTAAAACAAGCAAGGAATTAAATTATAGAGTCCATTGAGCGTTCTGACAGGCTTCGTGAACGGTTTCTGACAGTTCCAAAGGCTTACCAGGAATTATTTATTAACCTCAAATATCAAGTGGCGTTTAAAGCACATTTTCGTGTGGCTAAAAGTGCTAAATAATGTGTACGCTTTCTAACGCCTCTGTCGCCCTTTACCGAGAAAAATAATCGACATTTTTGGGCGAATATTTCGCTAGTATTAAGTAATACATAATATTTAAATTTCGTGCTTTTTCGCTGTAGTGGGACGGGAATTGCTTTTACGTTGGTTGATCGAAAAGATGTAAGATAGGTACCTACCAAAGATAGAACATTAAAGTTTTCATCTAATGCATCGCTTTTTGAACACATAAAAATTCAAAATTAGAAGATTTATTTTTAAATTTAATAACGATTGTACAAAATGTGTTGAATGTAAATCACCTTTATAGACAGTCCATTAGATGGCAATTATTAATGTGTATTGACGTTAGGAATAATCGTCAGTAATCTAGACAGTCTGTCAATGTTGTTCTAAATGGACAAACGTGTTTTCCTGCTTTCCAGTTTCCACTGATTTCTTTATAAGAAAAGGATCCCAATTATCAACACCATGTACATATACGTTTATACTATTAATAGTCAAACAAAGTATCACTTCGATAAACGCCAGCTTATTAAGCCCTTGCCAAATTTATTTCGCCCTTGAGGGTTTATCGAATTGATTTCATAATATCGTTTTTAATTTATTTCCCAAACAATGTGCTTTATTAGATGATGGCTGTTAAAAACATGAATATTTAATGTGAACAGTATAGTCAGAATTTCTAGGGTCTATTAGCCTCTTAAACAAGTATGCATTTTGCAATAATTATCAGATTATATAAAACATAAAATCAATACCTACCAAACAAGTAATTGTAATAATTATTTTGGTCGTTGAGTTGTAATAAATAATTTGAAAACCAAATATAAAAGGTAAAAATTGTTACTGTTGCGATGCAGAAATATCTTGCGTACGTTCCTGGTCTTTTGTTCTACATAAGTAGCACTTTTATTCGTTTCAAGAGTGTCATCAACTAAAGAACTGGCAAAGAAGGACCAATT